TTATGCGTGTTTTTTTTTCTATCTGTGGTTTTGTTGGAGTGGTTTTCATTTTCATTTTAGATTAAAATACATAATAGGGCACATTTTTAAGTGGAAGTAACACAGATATATTCTGGGTAGCTAATGGCTATAAGGGTGTGTAGTGTTTTTTGGTGGTGTGTATTGGTTTTGGGTGGAAGGGCGTGTTTGTGTACCTTTCTGTGGTGCAGCTGTGGTGATAGGCTCGGGCTGTGGGTTGGTTCTGGCTGGAGGGGCGTGTGCATTGGTGTTCTCCTCAGTTAGAATAAAATCAAGGGCTCTTTGAGGGTCACAGTCATATTTCAGAGCTGCCTGAGTCAGTGTGGAGTCTGGAATTGAATCTCCCAGCACAGCTCTCATCTGATCCAAACAGGAATACAACCGACCTGTCACAAAACACAAACAAACAGGAAAATAAGGATGATAAGGATGATAACTGATACAAAAGATTCCCAATGCAATGTTAACATTCCTCAAAACTGAATCTGGATTTTGGACAGGCACAAAATATTATATGAATGAATATCATCAGTATAAAAACACAATTGTTTTTGTTCATACAAAGCCTGGTTGGAAAGATAAGATGCTTTTCTTTAAAACTTTATATTCATCAAAAACCCCCAAAAATGTGTCAAGGTTTCCACAAAACATATTAAGCGGCACAACTGTTTTCAACATTGATAATAATAAGAAAAGTTTCTTGAGCGGTAAATCATCAAAACAATGATTTTTGAGGATCATGTGATATTGAAGACTGGAGTAATGTCTGCTGAAAATTAAGTTTTGCTATCACAGGAATAATTACATTTTAAACATTAAATTGCAATAATATTTAACTTATTTTACTTTTTTTACTGTACTTTATAACAAATAAATGCAGCCTTGGTGAGCATAAAAGACTTTTTTCAAAAATATTTAAAAACTTTTATTTAAACAATCTGCTAGTTTTTGGGTTGTCTGAACAAACTAGTTGTTTAACCTGTCTTAAGGAAGCTGGTTAAGTTGATGTAGTCCACCAGACCCTAATCAGACGCATTTATTAGAGATACAACAGTGCAACACTTCTATAGGGCAACTGACAGAAACTCACCAAATATATACTGTAAGTTAAATAACTATTTAATCTTTATTTCCACAACAAAAACAAACCATAGTTCTCACAAAAAAGAGAGTAACTTCTCTGGGTGTGTGTCCATGGTGTGTGTTTGTGCGCGTTCACTTGGATGGGTTAAATGCAGAGCACAAATTGATAGAATGGGTTATCATACTTTGCTACAAGTCACGTCACTTTTCACTTTGAATTACATATACTAACACGAACAATTCGATATGCGATACGATATTGCTTAAAGTGTGTAAAATCAATTTCAACTATATTTTAAAATATTTAAAAATTAAAATTATATAACCAATTTGTTTCACATTCTTTCTTGGAAAAGAAAGAAAAGGAGGAGATGCTAAAGACGAATCAACTCGGTGTTCGCGTGCCGTCTGAAACGCGTCTCTGTGTGTGTGTGCGCGCTTTGCACGTGTGCGGCAGAACTGAAGATACGCTGTGCGAGATGCACCAAGAGCTTGTAACACTCCAAAGAGAAAGGAAAATTTGAAATCACATCATATGACCCCTTTAACTCTTTTTTAATGGCAAGCAATTCTCTGCTATATGCGTCGAACTAAAACTTTGACCTTTTGCAACGTTTTGATTTAAGTAGCCTATTATTAAAGTTATTCAGATATCGTACGCCCTTGCGATATGCATATTGCAATATTTACATTTGCTATATTTCAATATATCGTGCAGCCCTACTTCATTGTGAAAGTCTATAGTAGCAACAGGCCTAACTTTTAGACTATCTGCCCTCTAAAATCCTCTTTGAGAAGTTGCATCTCTATATTCAACCCCTTTAAAGGCTTACTATTAAAAATATTAAATCTAAAAGACTTACTAGCCAGCTAGTCAACTAAGTGGCCATCTTAACCCATAAAGTCAGTGTGTACCTTGTTGTAGTGGGTCTAGTGTGCCTGCAATGGTGGGAGATGTTGGCATCTCCTCTTCCTCATATTCTGCCTCTTCCAGGGTCTCTACATGTCGAGCCTGCCTTGAGTCTTGCCGTGAGTAGATAAACTGTGCAGCTATGAAAAACATAATTTCACAAACATCTCCATAACAGACAAAACTTAACAACATTATTATACAGCTATTTATTCAACATGTTAATGAATATGGGATTTTTTATTTTATTCAAAAAATAAAAAAAGACAGGCAAATGGTGTATTTTCATAAATGGCATTGCAATGGGTCATAGAATCCAGTAAAATTAAAAGGTTACTGGGTTCAAACCGAATCTTTTTATCAACTTAATCAAGCAAATATGACCAAAATGATATGCAAATTATAATTAAATAAACAAATCTTCAAACTAAAAATATAAACTACATTAGAAACGTTTTGCAATTGGGCTTTATGGCTGATCTAAATGACGGGGACACTCATAATACAGAATTTATACATTTATTTAATACTAAACACAAACCAGTGGCAGGAGAGATGCAGTAGTCATCTTCCACTGACTGCCCGTACATGTCATCTTCCTCAAAGTCTATGAACAAGGAAGAAATGGAGACAATTCTGTTATATTCCCAGTTAGTTAAAGCAATCCCGCTGCATCAACAAACAGAAAAGCATTGATGGACCCTAAAAAATCTTTGCTTAGTCAGCCACTCCACCTGAAGCCATGCAAGAAAAGTTATGAACAAAACTGACAGTCAAAAGGCACAAATACAGGGTTGAAATAGAGTAAAATGTATTAAATCTTACAGGAAAAAGAAACCAGATGTTATTTTGTCTTATATAAACTACAAAGCTGATGTGTGCTGACCAAAATATATATAAAAAAATACAAAAGCCAGATGTAATGTAATGTTGGCTGTGTTTACTATTACTAGAAGCTACTATCTGAGTTTAAAAGCACAGAACTGAAACAGTGACACGATAGCAATCTGTCATAATCTGCAGCACCGAACACTGTATAAATAAACCAGCTAACTAGCAACCATACAGGCCTCTTTACACAAAAGCGGTTAAATATCATATTCCTCCAATATACCTTCGTCGTAGTTATAACCTCGGACATTCCTGTGACGGGACATTTTTTGTTCGACGGCTTTCTTTCACGTAAACAAAGTACGCGAGGCAAGAAATCAATTGTCAGTGTAAAGTTTAGACATGCGTCTCACTCCACTGCCGCCATGTTGACGGCCATCGCAAACAGGAGACACGCGCATGCGCAGTGAGAAAATACGTAGACTTCGTAGAAGTACATTAAAGTTTAGATTCTGAAAGCCTCTAAAATTCTACGAAGGAGATTCGAGATTAAACAATTATGTTTTTAATGAAAGCAGTAATTTTATAACTTGAATTTAGGCGGATATTATTGTTAACATGCTAAGTTTCGAACATTTTCATTTTAGACGTATATTTAGACAGCTGAATTATTAACAAAAGTGTAAAAAAATACTTTTTCAAACGTGAATTTAAAAATTAAAACACTGACGTGTGACAATGTGTAGCCTGTCAAACTAAATTTATGACGAGATTATTTTACAGTTGCGTGACAGTTGGGGAACCACTGTCAATGGGTTTTCCGAATATAGGTAGCCTATCTATAATGTGTATATGTTTCACTTACTGTCATGTGTTTAATTGATCTTTTGACCTCCATACAGCTGCCCAAGTGGAGAAAAAAATCCCCTGTAAAGTTTATCTGTCCTTGGAACACAAGACTCAGCAGCTGCAAAACCTACTCCTGGAAACCACCTTCAATCTTCCTCCTCCTCTCTGCTGTATCAGATTTTTTTAGGATCTTGATATTTCAGTTTCAGTACTTTACAATGACCCTAAAACTGGGGAGGAAAATCAGCTTAGTTCCCTGTTCATATCTTCTAAATTACCATTCATACTGGACTATAGGAAACATCGGGTGAATTATCTAAAATATAAAGGAGAGGATATAGGAGTTCTGGTTAATGGTAAATTAATTTGATTACTATTTAATGTCTTACAAGTCAGGAATACTGAGGTAATGTATGAATGTGTTGTTCTGTACATCAGGTAGGTACAGAAACATAATGAGAGAGATTTAACCACAGTCACTAATCTCACTGTTTGTGCTAAATAGGTTTCATTCACATCTGCATGACATTTAAAACTTTTGAGTACATGTCTAAATTTAGCTTAAAAACACACTCAGCACTGCAGCTATACAGATGCTTCATGGTTTCTTAGAGTGACCCAGTTATATCAAGTCTACATGGGTTGCGAAGACATGGGTGGGAGGGGTTCTTTCCATGTGCAAAAAAAGCAACCCAATCTCAGCTATGTCATGGGGTGGTGATTTTATATGAATTTATAATTTTTATGGGAAAAATGTAAGCATGAAGGTCCACCCCTTAACCAAACTGCAGTGGGATATAAGCAGATTGTACAAAAATGTATGAATGAGATTGTACGAATTCATGCGAATTAGCCATCAATTTGCCAAAACTTTAAAAAGCTATGAATTGCATGAGAGTGTGTTGGAAAAAGAGCCTCAATGCATGACATGGGTGGGAGGGGTTCTTTCCATGTGGAGAAAAATCAACCTGATCTAATGAGGAAACGTAACTTTTATGAGGTTGCAATTTTGTATGAATTTGTACAATGCGATTCATACGGATACATACAATTTTTAGTAAAAAACGTAAACATGAAGGTCCATTTTGAAAAAGATTCAATGCATGACATATGCATAACTACTTTGTGTTTTCTTGCTATTGTTGACAAGGTAAACTAAACTAAACTAAGGTAGCAACTAGTAGAAGACAAAACAGGAGATAAACATTTGACTGACCCATGATTCACCTCCGGTGTGGTATGTGTGTGCGGTGGGGGATGTTTCATTCACTGCATCTTTCTAAAATGTGTTACCCACAGGTTGTGTATCATGGTGGAGGGTGAGTGGGGGGGGACAGGAATAACATTTATCATTTTAATAAGGCCTTAAACACAGGTCAGTCTCACACATCATTAAGTCTGTAGTCTGTATGTGGTGTCTGTTTCCAGACTGACTCACAAATATTTTGAGGTCACAAACATACTGCAATGGAAAACTGTGCACTTTAACATCATCATGCAGATGCACTCACATTAAGTGATTCTCCTTGTGCATTTGATGTTTGTAGAAGCCTCAGGAGAGTGCAGTGAGACGAATCATCCAGTTAGTTACTGCATTTTACTCAGAAACCTGTCAGGACCTTACAGATGAGCAATGCTCTTGATTAATGCTATATTTCATAAATAACTGCAATAGTAGTGATAATATTAATAGTATGTTTTAATAATATATTATTATTATTATTAATAATACTACCCCAGTTGAAATTTATTGCACATTTTTCCAGAGTAGCCTAGTTAACTCTGATTGGTCAATCTTGGCACTCTGCAGTCAAATATTTTGACTTATAATGTGAACAACATAAATTTAAATATTGTAAAGGTAGTTTTAGATTCTGCTGGGCTTGATATTATGTTATTTACGCAATGCAATCCATACATTTTTATGTGTGGCTATTATTGACACCACAGCAAATAGTGACATGTTGAAGTTTTGATCTGTTGTGTAGTCATAAATCACCTGCTACCTCATCATAGGGAAGTAGACTACTGAAATAAAATGTCGCCTGTGTTAGTGTTTTCTCTTTTAATGAAGCACCCCCGCAATAACCCCTCCTTGTTCTGCAATGGAATGGATGGATGAGCGCTCTCAGCAAGCGCGCAGACACTACGAGCTCTGCTGAGCACGTGAGCGTCAGTGGTCAGAAACAATGGCTCGCGCTGACCGATATGATAAGTGACGGTCACAATATGCCAACCAAGTGAACGCAATGAGCAGACAACCTATAAAACAAAACATATAGACCACGAACCTCAAGAGTGTGTGACAGAGTGAGTTTGCTGGTTACCCTCCTCGATGATTATGCAATTACGCAGACTATCACATGGCAACAGGTTGGACTTGTTGGAGAACTTAAACAAGCTGCACTACTTTTCCATCCAGACAAATAACCTATCTGACTGTGACTTTCAATAACAAAATGTGCCATATGCCTATGTATTGTGTAACGTGACGCAAAGTGAAATTATTAGCAACCCAGAGGTGGTACATTTCTGGAAAAGGAAAAGCGAAACCGTTTTAACCCGATGAAAGCGAGAGAAGTGGGGGAAAAAAATAATTAAAAGGAAATAACAGAACATCACATATCAAGTTGTTTTCTGGGCAGTTGGTTCTCAATAACTGAACACCTGCATATTTGGAAAGGGAACTTTAAAAAGTACAGGCTACGGCAATCTAATGACATAAAATGAAACATGTAGCCTAATTCGTTCATCTTTACTAAAATACTCTGTCATTACTAAAATATTCTCTCAGTGTTTTCTGCACTGATAGGCTATTAAGATACAACTTCTGAATTCACATTTCGAAACATAGGGAGACGGTGCGGTCCAATGCTTTAAAAAATGACTCGTATGAGTCGGTTCGTTTTAGTGAATCAAAAACATACGGGGCCCCTGCGAAGTTCGATTCCTGAACGAATGATTCCTATAGTTCTTTTTAGTGAATCAAAAACACTGAATCAGTTACTATCCTCATATCCCACTAAAGCATCGTAAAGCATCAATCAAACAATTAAATCAATAAATTAAATAAAATGAATCAAAGTTAATTGCCGGTTGTTCATATGATAACGTGTTAAAGATACACATTTTACGTTTTGCTGTAATCATTGGTATTTTATAGAATTTAATAAAACGTGATTTAGTTTTTTATTATTTACAGATCTGCATTTATGGTGCTTCTAAAATGTCTGGTAAAAGTCACAAAAATCTTGGTTTGCAGAGAGCACGTTTTGAAAGAATAGTGTTAAATGTATTTATTTGTTATACACTCTGTTAAACTATGATCTTATCATTTTGCAAATTAAATAAGAATATTTTTATTATATTTTTCACCGTTTTTCATCTTCAAGAGGGCTCGCGAACCAGAGGAATCTCGAAATTTCTCTACGATTCCATCACTCACTATAGGACAGCCTCAGTACCGCAGAAACAGCGCTGGGTAGAGGATGCCCGGACCCCTCACGCTCTGTTTCCACCTGTTTGCCCAACTTTCACTCCCACTCAGAGTCCACATTGTACTCTATGAAACCCGCTGCCACCCCTCCCTGTCTTTTTACCTCGAAAAACACAATATAATTGTTCCAAAAGAACAACAGTGAACGATTAGCGCGGACCTCTCCCTCAAAAGGCGCTCTGATGTCTGAATAGTAGAGCGGTTGTGCGCATGCGCAGAACCCGAGGCGCCAAATTTAGCGGGAGGGAGAGACAGCCCTAGCTTTGTCTGATGGATCTGTTTACAATATCGCACACTCCGTAGAGAGCTTAATATCGGCACTTCCTCCTCGAAGAGGAGCTGACAGCACTCCACTTCAGCACACTTGAGCCGAGCGCACTCACCATCACTTCTCCAACTGTTACCCTCCTCTTGAGCAGCGGGATGGCGAGGCGGCACAGACACAGGTAAGTTTTAAGAGTTACGCATTTTGATGAGAACTTTGATGAGCGCATGTATTTCCTTTATATTATGAGACTGCGCTCCACAGCCACACGCGGGCATTTAGACTCAAGACTAGCTAGACAGTTCGTGCTGACAGCATTACATTTACTATGCATGCTCAGAAGTGGAGTGCTTGTATTTAGTTGCATTTTTACAGACGCACTCATCTCTCCGCGGAATAGTTGTTTCTTCTGGTTGCGCCGCGCCGCGATGAACAGGTGGATGGCATGTGCGCTCTCCGCTCGCGCCAGCGCGGTGGTCTCGCGCTCGTGTTCATTTAAATTTTCATTCATTCACCTGCGCGTGCAAATCCGCTGGACAGGTTACGGTGAGATCCGGTACTTCCCCAAAGAATACACACTCGTTATGATTCAGAAACAATGGACGAGAGGCACAGTGTCAGCGGCGACGTAGTGTGACTGAAAAATAGCGGGCGATTGCAGAAACATCTCGGCATGTTCTCGTGTAATTTTTTTTAACTGTTCACCAGTTTTTTTTTTTTCATGGAGGTAATCCAGCATTATAACGTTTGGATTAATTTTGAGATTATATGTAAACCGGATGGATTATATTCACTGAGTTTTCTAAATCCGCTTTACAGTTGTCGGATTTGGAATAACTAGTATTATAGTCTTAAAGGGATAGTTCACCACAAAAATGAAATACTGTCATCATTTACTCACCCTCATGTTGTTCCAAACTACCATGACTTTCGTTTTTGCGTCGGACGAAAAAGAGATTTAGGGAGAGCATGAGGATCTGACAGCTCGGCCACCGTTTACTTTTACTGCATCTTTTTCCCATACAATGAAAGTGAATGGTGACAGCGGCTGTCATGCTACGTAATCTTTCTGTTTGAAGAAATATTAGACAGGATGAAAAAAGAAAATAGCTTAACATGAGGGTGATTTTTGCATGCACTCTCCTTTAAGTTTGTTTCAAATTTTAGAGCTATCATGCATGTGCTTTTGTAATAAATAAATTTTTAACAAGCTCAGGCAACAGGTTAAAAATAACGCATTTGTTATATTGGTCACATGAGATGATAATGGTAAACTCATATTTAGACTGATATTTAAAAAAAAATTCCTCTGAATACGGTTTCAGCCACAGCTAGACTATTTTGACAAATATTTAAATTCACATGTACAGTTAGTCAACAACCCTCAATGCACACTAAAATGAAACCGTATCTATTTGACTAGTATTTTTTATTTTTTTTTATTTCAGTGAGCTAGGTGCGTTTTGAGTTTTACATTTCCAGTTAAATACTTGTAGTCAAGGAAGTGAGCAATCATCTTAATCTTTTGTTTTAAGCACTGGCATTAAGGATAAATATGAGGTTTAAAAGTACATAAACACACATACACCTGTGGCACAAAGGCCAGGAGAACATTGTTCTCCACGTCTGCTTGTGCTCCATCCTGATTGGCCAAGAGCCGGCCAGGTGAGATGGTTTTGACAGTACCTGTGCAGGTCTGAACACGTTCTCTCCATCATGAAACAGTGCCAGTCCACGCACACGCTCACTGTTTCTGCGACGAAGATGATGATGATGTGGAGATTTATGATCATGACTACGATGGTCCTCATGCCAAGACAGGAAAACGCCACCTCGGCAAGACACGCTGGACCCGTGAGGAGGTATGCTAAAACTGTTGTCTGGCTTTGTTTGAGTGCTATTTTTTTGTTTTGATTAACCCTCTGATCCATACTTAAAAAACAAATACGTTTAAGTTCCAATTATTAATTATTTTTATTATTACAAATTAATAATTACAAATGAATATTGATAATTTATTATTATTGATTTATTATTATTTTTATTGTATTTTATTAATTTTGATAAAATACAAAAAATTAAGAATACAAATTTAAAAAAGACATTAAAACATATTTTTATATGTATGAATTTATATTTAATTATCTTATATATAGTTCAAAGTGGGTCTTGCACCCACTAAGCTAAAGATTTTTTGCACCTTCATGATATTTACATGTATTGGAGTGTTTTTGGCTGTTTTTGTTTGATATTGCATCCTGTGTTTTCAGTAACAAATTAAACACACTGTATTTACATTTAGTTTGACTGATAACCCTTTATTTTTCATGTAGCTTTATGTATTTATTGTTTAATGTAAACATTCATTATTGCTTATTTAACAATGCATTATTCATTTGATTGTGTATTCAATGCTACAGTGTTTACTGTACTTTTTTTTTTTTTTACAGGATGAGAAGTTGAAGAGGCTGGTAGAGCATCATGGTTCTGAAGACTGGAAAGTCATTGCCAGCTTTCTACCTGTGAGTGTGTGTGTTTGTGTCTATGATTGTTTAAGTGTGCGTCCATGTATGCAGCTTGTGTATTTAGGCTTTAGGGGGTTAGGTTAGGTTAGGTTATGTTAGGTGTAGTGTTTTATATATGTGCATTTGCATGTGAATAGCCAAAGGATCAGGTACTGTAGAAGTGTGTGCACGTTTTGGAGGATTTTGCATAATTGGGTATTCCTCATTGGTTGGCCTAGTTTGGAACAGAGTCAAATGGGGGTGGGGTGTATGGCAGAGTTTCAGAATCCACTGTGCACCTGCATGCACACACGGATGTACAAACACACACAAATGTGCATTCAGGTAGAAACATATGTTCACATATAAATGTATAACATTTCTCAGGCACAAAAACACACAGTACACATGCACACATAACTACGCGCTATATGCAGTCAAAAATCATCTACTTCTAGTTATAGATTTCTTTGCATCAATCTCAAAACATGAACAAGAATCAGAAACTAAAGCTGTTTCATTTCTGATTCACTCTGTGTGGGGTTTCCGAAACACCTGGGATCCTATGCAGAACATTGAACTCATATTAAACTCAACAATTTACTTTAATTCAAAGTACACACCACATTGACAACCTAAAATTAGTTTCCATTGTCTGTTACCTAACTGTAAGTGTGTGTGTGTGTCACAGAATCGCACAGATGTTCAGTGTCAGCATCGCTGGCAGAAAGTTCTCAACCCTGAACTTATAAAAGGACCGTGGACTAAAGAAGAAGACCAACGGGTAAGACATCTACAATTTGACACAAAATAACCAAACCACAAACAATATGTTACCTCGAATAACCAAAATACAGCCAGAGGATTGCAGTTACAAAACCAACTAATCCGCATGCAACCAGGAGAATGTTAAGGGGGAAAATAAAGATCCATTAAGTGGGTGTTGTGTTGTAATGATTAACTGGTGGGACCAGGTGTTTCTCTATTTATCGTCATTTTTATGACCCAGCAGAAGTCATTAGCAGGTGTATTTTGCAGATATTCAGCGTAATACCACTATCTGTATCTGTGTGCAATCCTAAAACACTTATGCAATGTTAGTTCCCTTTCTCTATGGGTTTGTGCTGGGCTGTAATACACCCCCTCTTTCAGCTCTAACCTCCTTTTCCTTTTCCCGCACTACTAACTTCTAACTTTTTCTCTCTCTTTCTCAGGTGATCGAGTTGGTTCAGAAGTACGGCCCCAAACGTTGGTCTGTGATTGCGAAGCACTTAAAGGGCCGGATTGGGAAGCAATGTAGAGAGCGCTGGCACAACCACTTGAACCCTGAGGTGAAGAAGACTTCCTGGACTGAGGAAGAAGATCAGATCATCTACCAGGCGCATGAGAAACTTGGAAACCGATGGGCTGAGATCGCCAAGCTACTTCCGGGCAGGTAAAGAAACGGTACTTACAAACTATATTCTATGCATTTGTATGTGATAATGACAATCTATTGTTATGTTTTTGTCATCAGAACTGATAATGCCATTAAGAACCACTGGAACTCCACGATGCGGCGGAAAGTCGAGCAGGAAGGCTACCTGCAGCTAGCCGCTAAAGTCAGCCCCACTCCGCTAAATAACAGCTACGTTAAATCTCACCTCCTGAACTACAGTCAGACACCGACCAATACATCCATGCCTGCCTCTTCCATGAGCAATCAGTATCCGTACTACTCACTACTGTCTGACTCACAACGGGTATGAGTAACCTTATCTCACAAATGTTTACCTATATTCCTCTGAATACGGTTTTAGCCACAGCTTGACTATTTTGACAAATATTTAAATTCACATGTATAGTTAGTCAGCAACCCTAAATGCACACTAAAATTAAACTATCTATTTGACTATGTCTTTTTTTAATTTCAGTGAGCTAGGTGCGTTTTGAGCTTTACATTTCCAGTTAAATACTTGTAGTCAAGGAAGTGAGCAATCATCTTAATCTTTTGTTTTAAGCACTGGCATTAAGGATAAATATGAGGTTTAAAAGTACATAAACACACATACACCTGTGGCACAAAGGCCAGGAGAACATTGTTCTCCACGTCTGCTTGTGCTCCATCCTGATTGGCCAAGAGCCGGCCAGGTGAGATGGTTTTGACAGTACCTGTGCAGGTCTGAACACGTTCTCTCCATCATGAAACAGTGCCAGTCCACGCACACGCTCACTGTTTCTGTGGAAACCAAAAACATCAGAACAGGTTTCTCTGAGCGTGTCCCCCTGCACCCTAACCTGCCGGCTGTACTGGTTCATCAACTTCAGTTTTGTGTTGACTGTGTTATCGCTTAATTTTTCTACAACGCGTGATAGACGTATGGGGTGAAAGGGTGTTTTTTACATATGTCATCAAACACATCTATCATGTTCATGAGGATCTGCTCCTGTCTTATTTCCTGTCCCCCACTCCCTTATTTATTTTTTCCACAAGGCTGGTAGAGCATCATGGTTCTGAAGACTGGAAAGTCATTGCCAGCTTTCTACCTGTGAGTGTGTGTGTTTGTGTCTATGATTGTTTAAGTGTGCGTCCATGTATGCAGCTTGTGTATTTAGGCTTTAGGGGGTTAGGTTAGGTTAGGTTATGTTAGGTGTAGTGTTTTATATATGTGCATTTGCATGTGAATAGCCAAAGGATCAGGTACTGTAGAAGTGTGTGCACGTTTTGGAGGATTTTGCATAATTGGGTATTCCTCATTGGTTGGCCTAGTTTGGAACAGAGTCAAATGGGGGTGGGGTGTATGGCAGAGTTTCAGAATCCACTGTGCACCTGCATGCACACACGGATGTACAAACACACACAAATGTGCATTCAGGTAGAAACATATGTTCACATATAAATGTATAACATTTCTCAGGCACAAAAACACACAGTACACATGCACACATAACTACGCGCTATATGCAGTCAAAAATCATCTACTTCTAGTTATAGATTTCTTTGCATCAATCTCAAAACATGAACAAGAATCAGAAACTAAAGCTGTTTCATTTCTGATTCACTCTGTGTGGGGTTTCCGAAACACCTGGGATCCTATGCAGAACATTGAACTCATATTAAACTCAACAATTTACTTTAATTCAAAGTACACACCACATTGACAACCTAAAATTAGTTTCCATTGTCTGTTACCTAACTGTAAGTGTGTGTGTGTGTCACAGAATCGCACAGATGTTCAGTGTCAGCATCGCTGGCAGAAAGTTCTCAACCCTGAACTTATAAAAGGACCGTGGACTAAAGAAGAAGACCAACGGGTAAGACATCTACAATTTGACACAAAATAACCAAACCACAAACAATATGTTACCTCGAATAACCAAAATACAGCCAGAGGATTGCAGTTACAAAACCAACTAATCCGCATGCAACCAGGAGAATGTTAAGGGGGAAAATAAAGATCCATTAAGTGGGTGTTGTGTTGTAATGATTAACTGGTGGGACCAGGTGTTTCTCTATTTATCGTCATTTTTATGACCCAGCAGAAGTCATTAGCAGGTGTATTTTGCAGATATTCAGCGTAATACCACTATCTGTATCTGTGTGCAATCCTAAAACACTTATGCAATGTTAGTTCCCTTTCTCTATGGGTTTGTGCTGGGCTGTAATACACCCCCTCTTTCAGCTCTAACCTCCTTTTCCTTTTCCCGCACTACTAACTTCTAACTTTTTCTCTCTCTTTCTCAGGTGATCGAGTTGGTTCAGAAGTACGGCCCCAAACGTTGGTCTGTGATTGCGAAGCACTTAAAGGGCCGGATTGGGAAGCAATGTAGAGAGCGCTGGCACAACCACTTGAACCCTGAGGTGAAGAAGACTTCCTGGACTGAGGAAGAAGATCAGATCATCTACCAGGCGCATGAGAAACTTGGAAACCGATGGGCTGAGATCGCCAAGCTACTTCCGGGCAGGTAAAGAAACGGTACTTACAAACTATATTCTATGCATTTGTATGTGATAATGACAATCTATTGTTATGTTTTTGTCATCAGAACTGATAATGCCATTAAGAACCACTGGAACTCCACGATGCGGCGGAAAGTCGAGCAGGAAGGCTACCTGCAGCTAGCCGCTAAAGTCAGCCCCACTCCGCTAAATAACAGCTACGTTAAATCTCACCTCCTGAACTACAGTCAGACACCGACCAATACATCCATGCCTGCCTCTTCCATGAGCAATCAGTATCCGTACTACTCACTACTGTCTGACTCACAACGGGTACGAGTTAACCTTATCTCACAAATGTTTACCTATTAAAATAACACTATTATTAGCCATAAAGTTAAAACAGCGTTTTGTATGAATGCTGTTTCTCAGTTGGTAATTAATACCTTTTTTTTGCTTGTGTTCAGGTGCCATTTCCACTTGCTGTTCAGTTGAACATCATGAACATTCCTCAACATGGCACTGCTGCTATCCAGGTAACCCAAGAGCAAATTGCTGTTAATTCAGCATGAATGCATTAAATTAAAATAACAGTAAATGTATATGTGTATCTCATTAGTAGACTAATTCAAACCAGAGTATTTTGACAATCATAAAAAGAGTCGTCTCATTTATTTGTGAATCGAACTACACTTGTGCAGTATGTTTTTGAATTGAATACATACATACATATTCACAACAATATGACGTTTTATTTATAGTTTTCATATTTTTTTTAATCTAATTGCTTTCAGTTCAGTATCACAATAGAGGAAAATAGAGCAATAGATTGTTTTGTTCACTTTGCACTGTTTTGATTCCTGTGATACAGAGACACTACAGCGAAGAGGACCCCGAGAAAGAAAAGAGGGTGAAGGAGATTGAGATGCTCTTGATGTCAACAGAAAACGAGCTGAAGGGACAGCAGGCACTACCAGTAAGTGTGTGTGTGTGTGTATGATTAATTGGAGGAAACATCTGGGGGTCTATTTCACATTCTAACTGCTTGGCTAAATGATGCAATTGTGCCTTATCACACCACAAGCTCTGTTTAACTCCTTGTGCAACTCCGAACCCCCTCCCAACACTTCACATCATTCAACTCGACAAGTTCCCTTTCTTTCTGACCGTACTTCCTGCATGCATCCCTCTCTTTATTTTGCTTAATTTCTGTCCTACACCCACAGAGCTTCTCTCTAAATCTTTTCTCGCCCTCTCTCACAGATCTCCATGAGCGGCTACGGTGGGTGGAACAGAGGCTCTTTGACGGACAGCTCAGTTGGTGTGGTGGTTTCAGTCCTGGCTCCATCCCTAGAGCAGGGATGCCTTCCAGAAGAAAGTGCCCATGGCAACACGAACAGCCCAAACAATGACGCCAGCTCCACTTTACCGGAGTTTATTGACGCTATTGATTCGGTAAGAGACCATGAAAGTATCCTAAGTTAGATCTAAAAGGAATGGTTAGCTGATAGCCAGCGTAACCCTCGCTGTCCTCACGTGATCTCGTCTTCTCAGGCCCCGTCTATCTGGGCCAACATACACTCCGATAGGAGGTTTCCTAAAATGGAGGCTCAATCCAATCAGGGTTCACCCGCCCACAGCGATGACAGCAGTGCCCTCACATTTCTTTTCTCTACGCCCAAACATTCAGCCACCAGACACCTGCCTTTTTCTCCCTCTCAGGTAGCCTGAAAACGCTCTACCATAATCAATCAGTCACCCAATAACTCAATCATTGATCATCTGATCACCCTGAATCAATCTCTTCACACTAATACATATCAGTCTGCATAAGTCAACACACATAGGACTCATCTAAAAGTCACGTCACCAAACATAACCCATTTATAGAGCCCATGAGTGTTTCTAGGGTCATAAAGTGTGTGCTAAGAAAAAGATATTAGAGTGTATTACATCAGCTCTTAGTGCTACACTTTTATGACGCCTTAACTCATTTGATCTTTTCAGAATGAGTGTTTAATCAGTGGCACTGTTGATTTTGCTTGTCTTATGATTGGTTGTTTTAGTAAATTAGTTTCCTAGCGATGTCAAACGCTACATAATCGAGACAGCATTTGACTTTAATATCAGAAATCGTTCGGGTTCAGCTCAGTATTGTGCATGAAGGAATGTTGTTGTTTTCTTGATTACCTGGGGAAATTGAAAGAAATCTCCAATGAACACTGGATTATCGATGTACAATTATAAGCATGCAAGCACCTTTTGAATTTCCTCTGACATTTATGTTGCACTTCACAATTTTATGCTTAGCAAATATTTTGCAGTGTTCTTCATTAAATGTTAGTGATGCTCTGATCATACAGTACCATAACAACCATAATACTTTTAGCCTAGAGACAGTATTGTTACTCATATGTGAAACTCAGTTTTTGAAATCAAATTTATGCTGATTTTGACCCCCACACCTCTGAATATTGAATATGTGGTTTTCAGTTCAATATCTGATTGTTGTCCTCTTTTTCTCTGTTGCAGTTCTTTAATGCATCAGTGAGCCCAGACTCAGACAGTCAAAACTTACCTGTCACGTCCTCGCCTGTCTGCTCCCAGAAAGCACTGCAGAAAGACCTTGCTCTTCGGCCTCAGAAGGAAAATGAGCTGTAAGTGTCCATTCCAGTATTCTCTGCATTTATAGTTGCGTTCTTTATGATCCGATATATAAGAAGTTTCCCGTACACATATAAAGCAAAATCCCAAGTTAAATGAAATGATTGAGACTTAATGAGATTAATGTGATTGTAATGAGACACTCACGTGAGTGCCTTCCATTTCAGGTTCAGGACCCCAAACCTGAGGCGTTCCATCATGGAGTGCTCTCCTCGCACACCCACTCCATTCAAATCCACACTGACAATGCAAGACACCAAATACGGACCATTGAAGAGGGTGAGACATAAATTTACATAAAAATTAAATAAAAAGGTCAATTACATAAATTAAATAAAAAATATAATTTATGTCATTATTTGTATTTTAAAATTTATTCATATATTTATGTATTTATTTGTTATTTTACTATTATATATATTTATTATATTATTATAATATCTCATGCTATGGCTGATTAAAAATTCTATACTATTTGTAAAATGTAAAATAAAACACTAAAAATAAAAAACAACATTACTGTACAGTATATTTTTAAGATTTGCTAAAGATTTAACATTATTATTTATTTATATTAATTATATTATTTATTATGGTGTTTTAAAAAATTTACGTGAAAATGAGCGTGCACAATTAAATATCCAATACTATCCAATAAGTTAAAAAGCCTTTAAAAAGAAAATGAGCGTGCACAATTAAATATCCAATACTATCCAATAACTTAAAAAGCCTTTAATATCGGCCAGTAACCGATATAATACCGATATATGGTGCATCACTAGTTTGGAATATTTTATTCAAGACTCTGTTCTGGTTCCAGGCCCATAGTCCTTCACTGGACTCTGGAGTAGTTGGTGCTATTAAACAGGAGCCTCAGGAGTGTGAGATCAGCGTTGGGGGGGTGCACCTGGACCAGCCCCCCCTAAAGAAGATCAAACAGGAGGTCAGTTTGGGATGATGTGGGCCCCTTCATTTGAATACGTCTCAATGTGATATTCAAATAGCTCAAATGTAAGAGCTTCTTGTCTGTAATATATCAGTATGCAGTTGAACTTGTCTGATCATTCTGTGTAAGAGTGGGTGTGTGAATTAGACATTAGATATTATACGCAGGATTATGGAAGTAATATACAGTAATTTATGCATGGTGTATTTGGATGTAGTCAATGATGTAAATGGATCTTATGGATTGGGATCTATAGGTGGAGTCAGCTTGTCTGCAGTGGGAGGGGCAAGATCTCCACACCCAGCTGTTTCCTTCCAGTGGCTCCGCCCACGACATGCCTGTGAGTATTTTGATATCGCTTGTATACGTACGTCAGAGTAAATGTTATTTCTCTGCATTAAGTTAACATTTGATGGCTCTTTTCTCTGTGGAACCTATAGGATCTGTTGACTAGCTCTGTGCTGATGCTTCCAAACGCAGAGAAAACTGAGGATGGACACAAAGCCCAGCTGCCCCACAGACCCATGGGAAGCCCTATGCAGGTACAATATCTACTATCAGAAAGCCCTATATGTACTCATCTGAAACGTATTTGGACATGAATTTTAGTGGATGTATCAGAGTGACCGATATGTAACCAATATGAAAGCAAGCATCCAAATGTAAATTTTGAAATCAAATGTTATTTAACACTTTTTTAATGAAATGTTTTCTTTAAATATGTATTGTTGGTTGGTAAAACTTTAGAGCTCATTTTGTAGTAGTACACATTGACTTTATGACTCCAGGTGCTGAATTGTGCCATAAAATTGTGAAGTTATATTTTATTAGGCACAGAAGTGTTGGCTATGCAAAACCTGACCAATCACTTTCATCTTTGACTTTTTCTACTTCTCTCCATCTTTACTTCCTCTCTCTCTCCTTTGCTCTCTCTCAGCAGTTGAGCACATGGGAACAGGTGCTTTGTGGGAAGACGGAAGAGCAAACGATGCCCTCCGAAGCCACGCACAAATACCTCAGCAATTATTCTTCGCGAGCACTGGTCATGTAAAGAGACAGATAGAATGAGACCGAGACAAATATAGAAAAGGAAGAAGAGTGAAAGAAGACAATCATTCTGAAAAGAAGTAAAAGAGGAACACTCCTACACTTGTGGTACATTATTTGGGAGAGGCTAAAAGCCATTTCGTAGACTGCACAGTCGATGTTAGTCGCCAATGTTTAAGCTGTGCCGTCATTTGATTCAAGCAACCAAAGACATTTTTCATGTTGTGTTTTTCTACCTTTTTTGATTTCAATTTAATAATATTGTATTATATATTTTGTATTATATATGGGAAATGAATTCTCTATGTGGGTTCTAATTTTATGGATTTTAATATAAGGAACAATTTGCAGTAATTTATTATTATTTTGTATTAAGAATAATAATTAGCTACGGTGGGCGCCTTTGCCAGTGTTTGACCCCAGTATTGCTCACTTCTTAATCGCTAAATGTCTGTTAATTGTAAGGAGTGTGTGTCCTCCTAGCATTATCAAAATCATATACACCCAAAACTAGACAAGATTTGTACTCCGTATCTGTGGGTGTCCGACAGAACTGCCCTTGCAGAGATCGTATGTATTTCAACCAAATGCCTAACAGCACTGCTATGTATTCCTGGCCAAAACAAAAAGTGCCCAATGCCTAAAAATGACTTTGCCAAGTTTGAAAATTCAAGTTTGCCTAATGTAGATTTTAGGTGATATATCTAGTGTACAAAGGTACTCTGCCAGTTTAGTAGTGTTTCCATTTCAAAAGCGTTCAAGATCGAAACCACAATGTCGAGCTTTCACTGTATTAGCACTATTTCAGGGTTTAGATCAACTATGCAGAGATTTCAACAGAACAAAAAGTGTTTGGTTTTTTTTCCCCAGTTTTTGTATTCGCTAAATAGGAAAAACAAGGTTTACCAAGCATTTTCAAATCAAGGGTTTAAATGGTCACAAATTTGCCTTTGAGATGATAAAACATTTCTTAATCACGTTTTCATAGACACTTTTTTATGTCAATTTGTAATCAGATTTACACTGGTATTTCTAGTTTTTGAAACACTGAAATGATTGTTGCTTTTATACCTAGTCGGCTTGTTTTTGATATTACAATCAGCCTTTGATACTAAGATTGCAGTGTCCAATCAAAAGCATTTAGCAGTAACGTTTTTGTTATTCGCTGCCTTTTTGTATTAGCTTAAAGTACAAACACTTTTTTTTTACACTGATTATGAACTTTTCATACGTTTTTTTATACAAACTTTTATAACTGCCTTGTAAATAAAGTGTGTTTTGGAAAAAATATCTCTGGCTTACTGGTTTCTTTTCCACTTTGAAAAATTCATTGCTAAAGCCATTGTGTTTAAAAAGTGTGTTGCACAGATGTCAATAAGACCAAAATAAAACTACTGTCAGCATTTGAAGCCAATTTTATTATTTAATCAATTTATTTATTTGAATGAAGTGCTATACAGTGGCCCCAAAAACTATTTGAAGACTTGAAACTATATTATATATAATATAAATATAATATAGTCTATATATATATATATAATATTAATTATATATATATATATACTATATTATATTTATATTATAAATAATTTTTTCTTATTTATGAATAATATATCTTTTGTTTTATAACTGATAACAGAGGCATAGAAATATGTATAATTATTATTAAATGCTTAAAATCTTTTTATTTTTTCAGTAATGCAACTTTAATATTTCTTGTAATAAAATGCAACACAAAAAGTGTTTAAGCTATGTCTTTTTAAATCATTTTTAAATAAAATTGATATAAATAATAAAATAATATATCAAAAGACATTAATGCTTTTTAAGTGTGGCCTACTTAAGCCAAAGTGTATCTAATTACTTTCTGAGGCCACTGTAAGATGGATGATGGATAATTTTGACTTTAATTCTCTTGAAGAAACAACACCACACACCACACAAGTGAATACGGCCATTTTCCATAGACCATTGAACCATCTCACCAAGTGCCATACTCAGTATTTACTCAAACACTTGTGACAGTGAGATAACTATAATTGTATAGTATTCAAATGGTTCTGTATAGCTTGTAACATGAAAGAAATGATAAAGGCTGAATATGAATGGAGAGAATCTGGAATTACCTATTAACTCTCTATCAGGGTTTGTAGTAGGAGATATGCAAATGCCACCAACTGTATTCTCTCAGGCTATCTTAGGAATGCTTTCCCTGAATGCCAACACACTATCACACACATTAGACCACATTAGATACACATTCTATTTGTTCATATGGGTGTGTTGACTGTTTTTGAGGGTGAATTTGAGATCTTTAAGCGAGGTGTTTTGTAGAGCGCTGTCAGTCCCCCAGGGCTTCACACTGATGGAAACACTTTCCAACTCGAGCCCTAACAGATGCTCCCCCACTGTGTGTGTGTTGGTGGGGGTGAGAAAATGAAGTAAAAAAATTAACATTATGGGTTGTATACTAGCATTTGAACATGTATATGTGCATGTTTGTGGTGTAGAAACTCTGCTTGAGTCTCTTGAGGGTATTGCTTTTCCTGTGTGGCTGTTGAAGGCGGAGGCCCGGATCAGACCAGGGCCTAAATTTGCAGCTGCCCAGCTCTCACATCATCCTGACCACCTGCTCGCTGGCCTCCCCACACCCACATTTAACCCAAAAACAAACCAGAGGTGCCAAATATACACGGATACGGCGCTAGAGAAGAGCTGGGGAGCTATTCATGGTTCAGTACACTAGAATAATATCACAACTTTCACCCACACATAACGTTGATGTACTGTAAGAAAGATATGTGTGTTCAAAATAGGGTGGTTTTCTGACAGAAAGAGATGATGATGATCAAATATGAATTACACCGCGCCTTATTATTTTTTAACCACCTAAAAGTTTTTTAGTTAAAATGCTACACGTTTGAAGAGGATGCCCGAAAGGGGAAAGGGAGGTAAAATGAGGGGGAGATGAGAGGAGAAACAGAGAATTATCGTCTGAAAAGAGTTTTGCTACTGTGTCAGCTGATGTCCTTTTGTGCAAGCATCTGTTCACTAAATGTGTGTGTGTGTGTGTGTGTGTGTGTGTGTGTGTGTGTGTGCGC